CCCCTCTCCAAGTCCAAACCTCCTCCCCCACTAGCTAGCCAATGGTAAGCAAGCCATTCTATGCCCATAGGAATATTTGGTAGTCAGAATAATAAAGTTAGACTCAATACCTCTGCCCCATACCCCACTTTCTCCTCACCTGGATCCTGTGCCTACCATGCTCCCCAATTCCCTTCTATCTATGACCTCCTCTTCATTCAGTGCATTTTTCCTCAGGTATTTTTTCAGACATGAACCCAAATCTATTATAATGCCTTCACCTCTCTTGTCCCTTCTAACTCCTTTACAGTCATCTCAGTAAATTCTCTTTACCTTTGTGGATTCCACCTGTGAGTTCACATAGTGAAAATAATCACAATTTAACAGCAGTAGATATGATAAAATGGAACTGAGAAAATGTAAACCACAGGTATAGTAGTAAAATTGAACATAACTGAAAAATCCAGTGTCATGAGTCTCTAAAACTTCTGCAAATATACCTAAAAATCCCCTTCAAATGCTCTTTCCATCTCTTCAGAGTCCTCTAATTACACCTTCTTTCCCTCAAATAGCAACATTCAAAATTGAAAACACATTTAATGCCATTGTGCTCTTCTGGCTAATTACTATAGTAACCGTACCGTTCTTTACACATTTCATAGCAAACACTTAGCATTTCAACTAGATAATCAGTTTAATAGTCTTCAACAGACAAGTGTGAGAATCTAACCATCATTTATATCATTATTCCTATGGGAAAACTTGTTTCAAGAGAGCAATGCACAAACAAACTTTCAGGAACATAAAAACTGTGAGTTGGTGACTTCCTGCAACTTGTTTATTTAAAATGTGGATAGTGTATGTGCCAAATTCAACAGGAAGAATAATCCAGAATCATCTAGAATGGTTTATCTAAGTTAATTTTTAAAAAAGACTGCATGTCCTTTTTAGAGATTTAGAGTTAACCCCTAAAATTGAATGGAAACATTCATATAAGGAGGCCCTTTCCAACACAGAGCCTTGAAAGAGAGAAATTACATAATAGACCATATATTAGAATCTCCTATGCATGCTTAAGATTTTCCAAAATAACTTGACTATTTCTAGTAAGAAAATCAGTAGGAAAGTCAGAGATATTTCTTTTAAAACTTCTTAGCCAGCTAGAAAATGAACAGTTCCAGCTTCAAAATGCTTTGTTCCTTTTTTATCATATCACAGAATTTTCCAAATAAATAAAACTCCCTTTCTAGATAGATTAAAAAAAAAAAAAAAAAAAAAAAGCCTTTACTGTTAAAAGATTCATTGCAACAGCCTTCTGTCAGTCAGTCTAGAATTGTTCAAAATTTCCTAAATAATAATTTTGGAGATAAAAGTCTTCAACAAGGAATTTAAAAGCATGACTCCGTGAGTACTCATATTTAAGAGAGAGACAGAGTAAGCCACCAAGGAAACTAAGATTTAGTTTTTAATTAAGTTAACATGACCACCTGATGCAAAGTAAAAAAAAAAAAAAAAAAGGGTTCCTATTTAAAATGTTCCTTTGGGTCCAAAATATGAGCACTTATATTCAAATTCCATTCCACCATATTTCTGCCTCAATGTATTTTTATTTTTTATTTTTGCAATTTAACAAAAGCACTATATACAGAATACACTTACTTGCAGGTCATTGTGAATAGTAAATATAACAAAATGTATTAAATCACCCTGCACATTATAATTAAATCCAGTAAACACTTAAAATATGCTTGTTAATTCAAAAACATGTTATATAAGATGAAATCATTGACACCAAAAAACATACCTTTCCAGTTTAATACCTAAGAGCCTGATACAGAACTAAGAACACAAGCTCTTTCAGTGCACTTCTGCACAGACAAGGGGAACCTTCCCAGACTGCCTCACGAATACACACATGCCCCAAGGAATCCTGACTTAGTTTTTTCACTTACCTTAGAAGAGGTAACTAAAATGCCATTCTCAAATTTTAATAATAATACATGAATAACAATAGAATCCTTGAACAGTTTCCCTAATCACATAAACTGTGCTGGACTCTTAGACAATACATATATCATTTAGCAAACAATCCCCTTTGCTCATCCTCTTTCCTCTCACATTCATACTACATAAGGTTCCACATCATGTGGCATTCTTTAAGAAAGACACAACTCAATACCAACCATTGCTGAAAAATAAAGAATGCAGGCATCAACAAATCAAGTCCCTTAAAAATACTTTTTAATAAAAATATTTGGAGCCAGAAACTACTGGTAACCTGCTTGAGTTCCCTGCAGATTGTATCACTGCCTTCTATGATATTAGAATCATTGAGGAGGTAGTAATATTTTTCTTCTAGGACAAGAATTTCCAATAGGCATCGAATGAATGGAATCTATATGTCCTATTCCATTAAACCAAGTACACAAAAATAGACTATGTGCCATTCCAATGAATATTTGTTTACTCTTGTTTTACACAAAGTAGAAAAGTAGCTTTGAAAGTTGCCATAGCCATGGTTTTCCTGAGCAGCAGACTTGAACAGTTTACTGAATATAGAAATATATACACAAATGCAAATGTAGGTTCTCTCTCTTTCTAGAACAGTGTGGATGACTGCCTGTATGTGTGCACACGTGTGTGTGTGTTTGTGTGTGTGTGAGAGAGAGAGAGAGAGAGAGAGAGAGAGAGAGAGAGATACAGGTGCTAGTTGAGAAGAGACATCATTTTAACTGTTTAAATGTTTGGTGACACATTCTCAGAGCCCACTAGGGATGAGGTAGGTGGAAATAATAGCTGTTATCCCACACCTTCAGAGTAAGAGCAATTCAAAAGTGAGATTCTGGGATGCAGCATCAGAAACATGTATGTATATTTACTGTCCAAAAGACTGGCAACTAAGTTGGAAGGTCATTGATAGGCAAACTGATTTCTAGTTAAGGTTCCCACCTGCCTTTCTAAGATCCCTGAACTATTAGGATGGTAAGTCTTGAAAAGGATTTAAGTAGGAACTATGTATAGATAAAAAAAAATATTAGTTTCATTTAAAATTTTAAGTCAGTGGTAATAGCTGTTCAATTTCTTTTGCAAGAATCTGACAGAAGGTAACTGTAACCATGGTATCACCTATAATTCATAACAGTGCTAAGATAGCGTCCTTCATTAGATAAATTTGGCAAACCCAGAGTAATAGTGTTAATTCAGCTCCAACACAAGTCTTTGTTACAGCTCTCATTTCAGTTTAGGCAGTTCAAATAAGCTTATCGCAGGGCTTTGAACTGACATCCCGGTATGGCACAATAGACAATTTTACTGGAAGAATAATTAATGAGCATTAATAAATGCTACTTCATTCAAAGAAGACACTTGAACTCCATAGTTTGCAAGGCAAGAAGTAAAATGAAAGATGTTCCACTCCCCTGTGTAAGATTAAATTGAATCAGAATGTGTGCAGATTTATTTTTAAGAAATGCTACATAAAACTGAGCCAAAGAAATATAGTACCTCTATAGACAAGATTTCTTTTTTCTGAGAAGGGCAATCTACATGAGCTTTTAATTGAAAAGTACACCAGTAATACTCTTTCTGTTTGTCTTGCCTTGTTATTCAAAGATTAAATCCATTTTTAATTAATGAAAATGATTTAATCTTAGAGCGTTAGTAATCTCAGTTTATTTAGGTCTATATTTAAAGAGCTGCTTGAGAACCCTTTGCAAACAAGACCAGGCTCCATATCAAAATGATACCCAATCTCTTTTTTAAGGCTATTTGCTAAAATCTGTGGGCCATGACTATAAAATTCTTCACTCACCCAGATCACATTAACAATGATTGACATGATGGTAGAGAGAGCAAAAGAATTATTATCGGCCGAATATGTACAGGCTACACTGATGTTGTTTTGAAACCATTCTCCTCTTATTCCATTTTGGTAAAATTCCTAGGAATGTTTAAAATCTGTAGGACAGACCTTAGTTTAAGAAGTGGCCTCTCTGCCATTTTCATGGCCGATTTGAGACCCATTATGCACTGGATTCTGCATTGTGAAATCCAGGCTGGGGACAAATTTCTGCCTGTCATCTTAGGAAAGGCCAGGAGTTTTGCACCATCCTGTAGTGTGAAAACAGAAAATCAAAGCCAGGGTCAGCCTGCTTGTTTCTTTTTTAACCAGCTTGCTGCTTTTCTGAGGCAATCTCGGCTGTCACTATTTTAGGATTGAAAGGGTAATTTAGTAGAATAAAATATAGTTTAAACAACATCTCCCCAGGAAAAGTTCCTCCTTATACTTAATATTAAATGCTAAAGGTGATCAGTAAGTAATCATATGATGCTTGGCTAAGAAACACTGCATGGGGAACACATTTAGGAAGCACAAATTAAAAAAAACAACAACAAAAAACAACCCGATAAGACCCTGAGTCAAGAGACAAGAGGCCTGGACATTTTCCTATATTGCTCATTCTGTTGCAATAACATCCATGAAACTATACCTTATGGACCAAATTTGCTGCGTCTGTCACCCCAACAGTCAAATATAAATTGCAGAGATAAACACATCTTACAAGAATTTAAATTTTTAAAATAGTTTGTAAAAATTACAACATGGATAACTCAGTCAATGACCTCTCCTGTCTAATGTCAATTTCAGAAAACAAGTTTCCATTGTAAATGTTTAATCAGTGTAGTCCCAGGAACCCAGAGCAGACAACCTTATCTTCCCTCCCAACTTATTTGCTCTGCAAGCTTGTTAGTAGCTCCATCTCAGCTCCCTGCAAGCACTTTAGGTTTTTCTCTTTTAAAGGAGCTGGGAGCTCTGTAGGTTCTGAGCTAATCAGAAGCCCTGTGGTTTAAGTCCATGAGTCTGAACCCTGGTCCACTGCAAGCAAACTGCAGCACTTCTGCTTGCAAATTCTGGCAACCAGGTTCTAGACCAGCCACAAACACAGGCTGCACACACTCTTCAACACTGTTCTGCCCAAACCTTGCCTGAAGCCTGTCAACCACAGCAGAGAGCATCCTACCTTCCATCATGGTGGCAGAATTGCATTCCTTAATTTCCAAGGAGTCTGAAAATACACAGGAGGATACGATTCCAGGTCCCAGCTAAATCCTCACAACACTGCTGCAGCTGCTGCCGGCAGATCTGCTCTCTCCGTTGCTGCTGAAGCCAAAGAAGATAAGTGTTAACCCCAAAGATAGGCCATGGATGCAGCTGGTGCTGCTTCACCTACAGGCTCCCAGGAAGATGCTGCGAGAGAAAGGGAGAGGAACAGCAAGTCGGCGAGCTGCACCGCCTGCGCTGCCTCGGCCAATCCCTTCAGCTCTGGTCCGCGTCACATGGTAGCCAGCCCGCATCTCCTGACACAATACCCCGGGAGAGCACACAGAACCTATTTCCCGTCCCCATTCTCCTCCACCCTCAGCCCCTGCCGCTTGTCGCCAAATGCACAGCCCCTTCCCCACCTGGTGACGCACTTCCCCCGCCCCTCCTCTTCGTCTTCTGAAACCTATTGCAGCTGCTGGGTACCAGAGATTAATTATCAGATGCTGCCACCTTAACTGGGGACGCCGGCCTGAAAGGAGCACCTAAGTGGTTTGCTGCGGAGGGGATTTTTTTTTTTTTTTTTTTTAAATAAACCTAATTCCGTGCAGCCTGAAGTCTTAGCCGCACACTTTTAAGCTCCTATTCCCATCTCCTTTTGCCCTGAAGGAATGTCAGTGCCTGTGGCCTCCCCACACATCTGTGACTCTCTCTCTCTCTCTCTCTCTCTCTCTCTCTCTGTCATAGTCAAGAGAGAAAAATCAATCCGGCTGACGTCATAAACAATTATCCCCAAAAGGATGATGCAGAAGAAATTTCACCCCAGCTGGCTTCAAGAGAGCCAGGGAATTAACCAAGCATGGCATGCCAAGGGCTGGGAACTGTCATTAAAACAAAGAAACAAAAGAACCCACCGGAGTGGGGCCCCGGAATCAAACTGGCAATGCTCGAGATAATATCTGGGACGGGAGGCGGGACAGAGGGCAGCAGGCAGGGAGGAGAGGCCTCAGCCCGACATTAGAGTGCTGTGCACGCCGCTTCTTATCGCTGCGACCCGGCAGGCGGCAGCCACAGGCAGGACCCCGCCGGGCGCCGCTCCGCTCTGCGTTCGAGTCCCGCTGCCCGCGCGCGAGCCGCCAGGCTGCCCAAGGTGGAGTGTGGCTGCCGCCGCCAACTGCAGTCCTTATAGGAAAGCAACTTTCTTCTAAATGACACGTTTTTCACTCCGCTCCACTGGCGTCTGTAAGCGCCTTCAAGCGCCATTCGTTCACCCCAGTGGAAATCCGGAGGGAGGCAGTTGTGCTGGGTTCAGCCCCGGGTTTCGCAACTTCCAGCGATGGGATCCGGGTGATGTGCTGCTGCCTAAGGGAGAAGGGTTGTGACACCAGGGCTGCTTGGATTGAGAATCTGTCATCTGGCTAGTCCCCAGTGACCCCGAGAGCCTTTCAGAGAGCCCCAGGCCCCAGGGTCCCTAGATCCCTCCGTTCCCTTCAAGCAGGCTCTGGCCCAGGAGGAAGAAGAGGGCAGGTGGTGGTATATGGGACGGAAAGGAGGAGGAGCAAGGGAGATGGGAAGGAAAGGAAAGGTCTCTATAGAGCCTAGAGGATAACAGAAGGGGGCATTTCTCCCTCTACAATCTAGCAACATGACTGGGGGAAAAGCCATTACATCACAGAGCAATTGTGAGCACCAAATGAAATAACTTTAAGAAGATGCATTACATGATCAGTATTGATCCTGTGATACTATTAATCATTTATGTTATCAATATACCCATGAACTTTGATTGATTGATTGATTGATTGATTGATTTTAGAGCGAGAAGTAGGGAGGAGGAGAGAGAGATCGAAATATCGAAGAGAGAGAACATCCACTGGCCACCTCCCGCATGCCCCCCACTGGGGATTGGGCCCACAACCTGGGCATGTTCCCTGATGGAATTGAAACAGGGACCTCTTGGTGCATGTATACCCATGAGTTTTTAATATTGTTCAGCCCTTGACATAGTCTGGTTCTTTTCACCAGAGTAAATATGAGGTGCTTGTGGCTAGATTTACTAAAGAAAATGTGACTAAAGAAGTTGACTTCAGTAGCATATTAACAGTTAAAAAACAAAAACGCAGTTTCTTAGCAACTTAGAAACTTTAAAAGACTCATTGTTCTAAGGACCCATATAACATCTAAATATTAAAATGAAATTCTCCAGGGAGATACAAATATTTGTGCCCTTTTTTTCCTTATACCTGTGAAGCAGTTGAATTTTAAAAGAGAAAAAAATTTCAGAGTAAAACCTGTCTTGAGTACAACTTACACTTACTCTGAAAACAATAAAGGTATTATTGCAAAATTAATAAATAAAAGATTGATATGTGTGTGTCTGTGTGTGTGTGTGTGTGTGTGTGTGAGATGTGTGTGTAGTCAACATTTCTGTACTGGTTAAGAATGTAGATAGATAATCATGCTGAACAGACTAGGGTCAAGTTCAGTCTCTGCCACTTAATGAACCATATGATTCTGTACTAGTTATGTAACTCTCTGTGCCTCACAGTTTCCCTATCTGGAAAAAGATGATAATAATACCAACTTCAGAGGGCTATAAATAATATTAATAACAAAACTTTATTAATGGCTTACTATGCGCTAGGCAGAATCCTAAATACCTTGCCAGTAAATTACTTAGCATTGTGTCTAGAGCATAATGAACCCCTCATATTAGCTTTGTAATATTAGTATTATTACCACCAAAGGGCTGCCGGAGGCATCAAAGAAGTTTGCAGCCAACTGAGCCTTATATGACATACACAGAGAACAACTTCGTGAAAGACCAGGTGACGTGTTCAGAGATGAAACACGCTGGAGAGTTCTAAGACCCTGCGAAGCAGAAGAACGATTAGAACCAAATGAGGTTAGTCAGGGATTTTAGAGTTCAGAGAAATTCGGATGGGCTTGGAGTGACAGCCCTAAATAAGATCGGGGGTTCTAAATAAGAAAAATGGCGTATATGAAATCTGGAAGTAAGTGCAAGCATTGAGATGCTGGGATGGGAGGCATTGTCAGAGATGAAAGGGGCGAGAGAGCCAGAGAAACCCTGGCTGCCTGCCTCCCCGCACTCCATGAAGTGTTTTACAGTGTGTTAGAGCAAACATTTCAGATAGATTTAACAGGGCATGCATCAGTTTTGTTTTAGACTTGCAGCAAGGCAACTAGCTACAGACACAATGAGAGTTCAGAGATTCTTTTGATCAGTGGGTATTTATAAGAAAAACAAAAATGTCTAGATATGATTATCAGAGAAAGACAAGAAAGGGATGGGAAATTAAAGGTGTAAGGCTAGTCCCAGGATTGGTTAAACTTTGTGTAACTTTATTAAGATGCTGTAACCAACTGTAAGAATATCTGATGAACAAAGTTCTGCTTCAAATAAAAACATTGTTCCAGTGTGTTATCAGAAAAGATTAAATATCCTACTTTTGTCTTCTTGGAGGTTTTTGTTGTTTATTATTTTAGAGAGAGTCAAATGGAAGTCAAAGTATCTGTGGAAAATAGTGGGTAAATTATTAACTTGCACCAAAGTTTCCAAGCTGTCTGGGAGTTTAGTCCAGGATGATGAGTGTGTGCCCAGATAACACCAGGTGCTCATAAAGTGCCTGCAACTAGTTCAAGACCAAAAACTTAATTGCTAACGTCACTAGACATTTAAAATTGTCTCTGAAATAACATTTTTACTATGGTGATGCCCTATTACACATGGTTTTTGGAATCAAATCCTATTATAGTCTAACTATAGTAGTTGAATTTCTTCACCATTCCTCAATTTTAATGTTTGAGGGAAAAATCAGTTCATATTTCAGAAAGTGAAAGAAAAAAGGAGAATTGAATCACAAAGGAGAAAAAAAATTAACATAGAGGGAAAGTTTAAATAAAGTATCCAGTATCCCTGTTGCTTTTCTGCTGAGGCAATTCGCATGACTATAGAAGGGAAAATATTGTCCAAACCCCCTGGAAATGAAAGGATCCCATGTGAAGAGTTAGATTCCCATGGGATGAAATAGGTGAAAGAGCAATACACATATAAGCCCATACTCACTATATTCTTGGTTACAATGAAGAACTATACCTGGAACTGACATGGGCAAAAAGGGGGATTTATTTGGGTAGTTCGCAGAATTATATGAAGAACTAACTGCACAGCTGAGAGAAAAGCAAGAACCGGATGCTCCAGGAAACTTGGACACCAGAACCAAGTACTCAGAATTCTGTTTCTTCTAGCACATCAGCTTTTTTCCTCTTACTAGTTTTTCTCCATGTGATTAGGAGCTGGTCATTTAAATCCTTTAAGCTTACATCGCCATAGCTGGCCTATCCCAGATGTTAAAATATTCCTGGGAAGGGCTCTGATTAACCAGGCTTGAATCATTGTTCACCCTCTGGGCCAATCAATGGGGCCAGGTTTGATGAGATCTCATGATGGACTTATTTAAACCAAAACTTACATTGGACTTAGTCACATAATCACTATTGTGACTAAATAGGCAAGTTTTTATGACTAACAACCCTTAAGAGTACAAATCTCCTATTATGATTGGAGGGGTAGAAAAGACATTGTCAAAGGAAGAAAAGGAGCTAGTACCAGAATAAGTATGGGGATAAACACTATGAAGCAAAAACTATTCATCATGTTGACGTTACTCAGTGCACCTACAACTTACAAAAGAATCCATGATCACAGAGGGATTCAGGATGCCACACTAATCTCATTCAGCATACTTGAGAGGTCATTTATGTATTTTCATCACTACATCCAGAGAGAAACTTGCAGTCATCCTCCTCCTCACTGTGGAGAGAGGGGAGGAAAGTGGGAAGCAGATCCTACTTATTGTCCACTTACACCAAAGACAAGATATGCCCTGGTATGCTGGCCACCCGTTGGTCCATCCCGACCCAGACAGCCATGTTTCTAAACCTACACAGTACAGAAGGAACTTGTATCAGCCAAGAAGTACTGCTTAACCTAGACCTACATTGACAAAGATAAGCAATAAAGGCTGCATACATGAGAAGAATCAGCAGTTTAAAAAGAAAAATTAAACAATTACTCACTGAAAGCAGAGGAAATGTAGAAAATTGGAGAGTCATTTTAAAACAATCTATTTTTAACTTTTGGTATAATTTAAGGGATACAACAGCAATAAATAAGAGCAGACTGCTTTGATGAAAGAGCATACTGAGAGCCAGA